CATCCTCATCCTCATCCTCATCCTCAACCTCATCCTCAACCTCATCCTCATCCTCATCCTCATCCTCATCCTCATCCTCATCCTCATCCTCATCCTCATCCTCATCCTCATCCTCATCCTCATCCTCATCCTCATCCTCATCCTCATCCTCATCCTCATCCTCATCCTCATCCTCATCATCATCATCATCCTCATCCTCATCATCATCATCATCATCATCGTCATCATCATCGTCATCGTCGTCGTCATCGTCATCGTCATCGTCATCGTCACCATCATCCGCTTCCTCCTCCTCCTCCGTTCCGCCGCCTGCCGCCCCCCCCCTGGCCCTGCAGCGCTCGACGCTGCGGCGCCCCCCTCCCCGGGGATCGGGGCTGCGCTCGGCGGGAGGCTCGCGCAGGTGCGGGTCCTCCGTGGCCTCCACGCTCCTGCGGCGCAGGCAGGCTGCAGGAGCCCCTGCGGCAATCTCGGCGGCAACCTCTGGGAGCCCCCCACGCCATCTCGTCGGCTCTTGCGAACCGGCGCTAATCGACGCTGGTCGACGCTAAATCGACGCCAAATCGACGCCAAATCGGCGCTAAATCGACGCTAAACCGACGCTATCACATCGACTCCCAGACGCGAATCGACGCTGAGGACGGAACTCAAAAGCGTAGATCAGGCTCCCGTGATTCGCTGCCGAACACAAGCCTCTGCAAAAATTGGCACGCGCGCTCCGCTACTCGCAGCAGGAACTGCTCGCAGGTGGCCCGGGTCCGCCGCGGGGGCTTCGCGACCCCTTAACACAAGAATAATCAAAACATACTCCAAACATACTTTTTAGAACATCGAAAATATGTTACAAATCGTCCCCAGACTATTTGTTCACTGTTTTTGAAGATTCCCCATGTAGAGGGCCAGGCCCGACTTCAGGGTTCACCACCGAGGGGGTCCCCACCTTCTCCTGAAACAGGGCGCCCTCTGGGCCTCCCAGAGCCCGCGATGGTGCCCGACCCCAACCACACGCAACGGCATGGGGCCGGTCCCACCCAGTACGTACAGGGGTAGGTCCACGCTCGACGGCTTTACCCTCACAGTGGTCCAGTTGTTCGTAAATTGTGCCCAGGCGCCAGGGAGCCGTCGCATGTGACATCCACCAGGGCACGGCCCATGATGGCCGCACTATCCTTGCGCCGATGGGGCAGCGCGCTGCGGTCGCGGGGATGTGGGGCGAGCTGTGGCTTCAAATTCTGGCCTGGCGCGCGTGCGATGCCGCACGTGCGAGGCCCGAGGCCACTCGGAGGCCCCCGAACAAAACGTGCTGTAGACTCCCAAGCCTCTGCGGGCCTCCGAATCGCCCGCAGTGTACTTTGGTTGCTCGGGGGGGCGGGCCTCCGCACTTCGCGGGCCGGCCTCCGAGGGCGTCTTCTGATCGTCGCCGCGTGTTGGTCGCACGGTGTGTGCTGCTGGGGGTGCCGGGCCTCCGGATGCCGGAGGCCAGCCTGCAAATCGGGGATCTACTGGCTGCATACCAGGCCACCCCAACCCAGCCCGAAGACCCTAATTTGACCCGAGTTTCGGGTTGGTGGGGGGGTACGGGTTCTGTGTGTTTTTTCAATGTCCCCCGACCCCCCCCCCACTGGAAATCGAGGGCAAATTGAGGCCTTCGGGTTGGCATGGAGTGGCCTGGTGGGTGGTGATCTACTGACCCAGATCAACCCAGGCCCCAGTCAGTCAGGGATCCTGCAAGATCCTGCAGGACCCTGCAGGAGCCTGCGCCCAAGCCCTGGGTCAGAGCACCCCTGGCTCTGCAGGATCCCGCAAGATCCGGCGATCTGCCGGACCCCCGCTTGCATGGACCCCCGTCTCTCGAGTCCCGATCTGCCAGGGATGCCGGGCCTGCGGATCTCGGAGGCCAGCCTGCGAGGACCTCCTCCTCCTCCTCCTCCTCCTCCTCCTCCTCCTCCTCTTGATGCACGGCTGGTCGCATTGGACTTGCTTGTCAGGCGTGGCCGGCTTCCAGATGTCTGAGGCCGGCCTCGGGGACACACGCGGCGGGTCCTCTCGTGTCACGCCGCGGTCTCGCGGATCCGCTTGCGGCCAGCGCTGGCGAAGCTCAGCAAGCCTTGGTTGGCGACCACGGGTTAATACGTCAGCAGGCTCACAAATGTTGTGGAGGCCCCTCAGAGGCCCCGCCAAGAGGCCCCAAAACGGCCCCCAAGAGGCCTCAAAGCAGCCGCGAAGACGCCACCGAGAGACCTCCCACGAGATTCCAAAGAGCACCCACTAGGCACAACCCAGGCACGGTGGTGGGACTTGCCGTATGGCAGCTGGATGCGCCAGCAGGCTTAGAAGTGTTGTGGACGACACCGGTGCTGATTTGAGCGCCGTGGGTTTATGCAAACGCCTCACCAAGCGCCGAGGTCTTGCAATCGCGCGCAGAGTCTGCCGCGCACCCAATTGAGCATGTGAAAATGCCACGTCGACGGTTCAGGACGCGCAAGCACTGCAAGCCGCCCCAAAACAGTGCCAAGGTCGACCCGCCCTGGCCCGACTCGGACGAGGGCACAGCCGGGCTTGACGGCCTCCCTCTTGCAGCGGCCCGGCTGCTTGAAGATCACGCCCACGCGCCAGGGAGCCGTCGCAGGCGTCGTGGAGCACGGCCCACGATGGCCGCGCCATCCCTGCGCCGATGCGACAGCACGCCACGGCCGCGGAGCGGAAGCCCCGGCGCGGCGCGCGCGCGCGAGGCCGCGCGTGCGAGGCCCCCGGCGGAGGCCCCCTCAGAGAAATGCGAGGGGCTCCCGCGTCTCCGCGGGCCTCCGAGTCGCCCGCACGGCGCTTGCTGCTACCGTACGTCGACGACATGTTGCACCACTTTTGCCGCGCATTGTCAGCTGTATTGCATTGCTCCTCCCCCCCCTCCCCCTGATCTTAATATTGGGCACATGGCAAAGGTCCCTTGGCGCCCCCCCCAGGGCTCGCGACAGAATGTTGCACCACCGAGCCGTTTCGATGAACCCGGGACCGCAGCCAATGTTAAGATTGGGGGGAGGGGGGGGGTGGAAGCGAACATCCATTGCAAAATCGGCTTGCTTTCTTGACACCACCAGGTGGTGCAACATTTTGTCGATGTACCGTAGGGAGGGCGGGCCTTGTCTGCGCACCCCACTCTGACAACTATGATTCGATTGCTCGTCGGGATCGCGATGCACACAGGGAGGGAAATGGGAGCAATTTTCGTACGCACGATAATCGACATTAGATGTCTGGAACCACTATACCAATTTTAGATTCGACGTCCAATGGCATCTGGGAACTCGTGCCTGTCCCGTTTTCGGAGGCTGGCCTCCGAATACCGGTCGCATGGTGCGCGTTTTGCCAGGGATGGCGGGCCTCCCGATGTCGGCGGCAGGTCCGATGGCCCTTGACAATGGCCGCATGTTAGTCGCACTGCATTCTGTTGCGGAGATGGCGGGCCTCCGGATGGCGCAGGCCTGCCTCGTGAGACAGACAAGGGGTTGGGAAAACTCAGGGAACTACTGCATCAGAAGCCCGCTCAACACAGGCAATGATACAGCTGTTCTGATGATTTCTCCCAGCCCCATCCTCCCAACCCGATAGTAGTCTCTCTGACCTCTGGGACACATGCGGCAGGTCCTCGGGTGTGACGCCGCGGTCTCGCGGATCCGCTTGCGACTAGCGTCAACTAAGCCCAGCAAGCCTCGCGACTTCAAATCGAGGATGCATACACCAGTAGACTCAGACGTCTTGTGGACGACATCAATGCTGAACTTGGTGTCTTGGGTTTTTGCGAAAGCTGCAGTGAGCGCTGAAGTCTTGTGGTCGCACGCATAGGCGGCTGCGTACCCAATTGAGCATTTGAAGTTGCCACGTCGACGGCTCAGGACGCGCAAGGACCGGTAAGTCTCAGAAATAAAATGTCAAATTCGATCTGCCCTGGTCTGTACTTGGCTCCGATCGAAACCAAGTGTGACAGGCCCTTTCCGATTGCGACACAACGGGCGCCGTTCAATACATAGTATACTAGCGAACGGCTGCCAGCACAGCTTCAAAATCGAGTGGACTGATTTGGGCACGTGCTTTCGATTATGAAAACTGGTTACGATCCGGTCGATGTGCAACGACAGTGACTGAGCCTGTACAATTCCAACGAATTGCGACCAGCTGGAATTACAGCATCTAATACGTAATTGAGGTACTGAGCTGCTGCTAATCATTAAGCCGTGGCTGAATCTAGCTTGTTAGCGCAAGCTTGCTGTAATTACCAGAGCCACGCGTGCTTCGCGCGCTTAGGTTCTAGTCTAAAGATAACCTGTTGCCTTATGCTCGTCTCATGCCTGCGCTTCACCTCGTAGTCCCAATCGTCTCACTCCTCCACGCCCTCCTCCTTCTTGTCATACTTTTTTCTCCTCACTCCTCCCAGTGTGAAGGACTCTCGGTAGACCTCACGTCACCCTGACCACCAACGCGCGAAGAAATGAGGCCAACAGCGGCCACTTCCGGCGCTGTTTCCAGCGAGTCCACCGCAAGATTCTCAAACCCGCGCTCTTGCTCTGAACAAGCCCCGCAAAAAAAGGCCCCAGTGGAGGGCCCAAGGCGAGTCCCTCCTGACGTGTCCAGCGAACCCTGCGGCTCCGTTGGAAGGTTTCCAAACTGGCGATGTTGCTCGGGACATCCGCGCAACATCGGCCCCAGGGGAGGGGCCAAGAGTGCCTGCTGACACCGATCCCGGCGAACCCAGAGGCCCTCAAGAGGGACGCAAGAGCCCTCCAAGGCCATGAGACAAATATGTGTTTTGAACACGTGCTTGCCGCCCCCCCCCTTCTAAGCAATTAGGGCAACTCATGCTCGGGCCATTCAAGGGCCATGGGAGAAACCTTGGGGTCGAATGGGGGCGCGCCCCACGAGGAAGAATAATAAGAAGAAGGAGAAGGAGGATAACAATAGTAATAGGAATCATCATCGTATTACTAAGAAGAGTACTGATTATACTCTAATAATAATGTCAATGGTGGGGAAGATGAGGTGCGGATGGTGGGAGCCAACATAATATCAAGTACGAGAGGATGGCACGTATTCAATCGCAACGCACAAGACTCAGAACAACACCGCCGTCGACGCGGGTCTGGAGACGGTGCGGCAACTGCGCCTCACCTGTCAAGGGCCAGCCCCCCCAGACGGCACGAAGGGCAGGCTGCTCGCAAGACTGATTCTTATGTGCCTTCCCCGCCTCCTCGGTCTCCTCATCCTCGTCCTCCTCATTCTCCTCCTCCTCCTCCTCCTCATTCTCCTCCTCCTTCTCTTCCTCCTCCTTCGCCTTCTCCTTCGCCTTCTCCTCCTCCTCCTCTTCCTCCTCCTCCTCCTCTTCCTCCTCCTCCTCCTCTTCCTCCTCCTCTTCCTCCTCCTCTTCATTTGCCGACTCTGCTGCCGGGCAGCAGCCCCAGCCCCAGGCGACCAGCCGGGAGGGCTTGAGCGACTCCGCAGCGCCGTCGACGAGGCAGGGCCCACGGGAAGTACCCCGGCCCGAGAGCCTGGCGAGAGTCGAAGAGCCCGTCCGGAACTCACCCCGTGGGGAGGTCGCCTCGGCTGGAGCTGGGCGTGTCCTCGTGGCTTCTCGGGCGATCCTGGGCTTGCCTTCGCCCGTCCGGGGGCGCGGCCTGGGGCTCCTGGGGCCATGCTGCAAACACTCTCGTGGCTGGGACTCCTGGGGCGTGTTGGGGTCTCTTGGGGGCTCGTGGGTGAGTCGTCCGTGCTTCCGAAGGTTTCTTGGCGGGCTTCTGGGGGGCACAGTCAGGAATCGCAGGTGCCGCTTTCGGGGGAGGGGTCAGAAGCCTTTTCGCAGGCGTCTTGGGGGCAGGTTTTGAAGCCTGTTGGATCACTTGGGGGCCTATTTGGGCTCTCTTGTGGGCTTCCTGGGGGTCTCTCGGCGCATCTTGGGAGCGCCTTGGAGCTCTCTGGGGGGCCTGTTGGTGGCTTCGGGGGCCATCTTGGGGCGGAGGGCTCGAAATGTCAGATCGGACTCCTTCTCTTTGGTCACTCTTGGAGCTCTCTTGGGGCCCTCTTTGGCTGTCTCTGGTGCTTCTTGGGCCGTCATCGAGCCCTCTTGGGACGTCTTGGGGCTCTCTTGGGGGCCTCTTGTGCCGTCTTGGGGCAATGTCAAGGGCCTCTGTGGTCATCCTGAACGGTGTTCCCGCAGAGCAAAAGGCCTTTGCCAAACTTTTATGTCTTGCTGATGGGAATGTAACGAGTTGGCCCCTCGGGGCCTCATCTTGGGGAGCTCTCGGGGCGTCTCAGAAGCGCCTTCGGCCCTTGGAGCCGCCTCGTGAGCCGCCCGAGAATCCTCGAGGCCGTGCTGGGAGCGATCCGGGCATCCGTAACACGGGCCGGCCGTAGTCGATTGAGGAGGCGTCCGCTGGCCATCGCTCGGACGTCCATTCCCTGTGTATTTGTTCGGTTTCGTGCGTGGCTTTTTCGCCAAGTGATCAAGGATGCTCCTCGATGGTCCCAGCCGGAGGAAACGTGCACACGTCCGAGCGATGCCGAGTCCAAGGCCGCTCAAACAGGGAGAAGTGCTTCTCAGAGGCGGGGTGCCTCCGCACGGCGGGCCCGCCGCCCTGCACGCCTGCGCGCGCCGCCAGCACCCGGGGCAGGGACCGCTTCCCCGCCGACGCTCGGACGTTCAGTCCCCGCGCATGCTTAGGTTTCGTGCGTGCTGCTTTTTTGAAGGGGCCCAGGGACACACACACACACAAATGACAAGATCCCCAATAGTTTCCTAGACTTTCTGGGTCTTCCTCTTCCCCCCCACTTCCCATACTTTCCCATATTTTCCTGGGAGTCGACGATTCATTGTGTCTGTGTGTTTCTTTCCCTGCGGATTTTTACACCAGAGGATCCAGGATGCTCCTCGATGGTCCTCGCCTAGGAAACAAAAACCTGCACACGTCCGAGCGGTGCCAAGCTCCTGCCCCTTCGAGGCTCAGTGCCCCCCAGACCGGGGACTCGGACGTCCACTCTTCGTGCATGTTTTGGCCTCGTGCGTGCTCGTTGTGCTAGAGGATCCAAGATGCTCCTCGATGGTCCTCGCCAAGATCGGGGAGACGGGAGTTGGCGGCGCGCGTTGGCGGCGCGCACAAGGGGGTGGGGGGAGGGGGGAGTGCTTCTTAGAAGGAAACTGCTTCTTAAAGGCGCCGGCCTTACATCTATAGAAAAGGTCCGCGCCTTCTAAGAGGCTTCCAAGAAGCCCTCCCCCCTCCCCCCACTCCCCTCTGCGCGTGGCTGAGTAAGTCTCGGGTTCGGGGGACTCGGGTTGGCATGACGGGGCCATCGTGAAGATGGCGAGACCCAGCCTGAAATGTGGCGCGAGCTCCCGCTGCAAACATCCCACGAAACCTGGACCGTCAAAATCCAGGACGCGCTCATCAAAAAGGGTCGGCAAACCCGGGTTCCGGCGTACTCGAGTCTTACGCTTCCCAGACAAGGAAAACATGCACACGTCCGAGCGATGCTATGCTTCTGCCCTCTTGAGGCTCAGGCTTCTGCCCTCTTGAGGCCCCGCGCCCCCTAGACAGGGACTCGACTGACGGGCACTGTGGGCAGAGACCCGGCGAGCCCGACCCTTCTCGACGCGGGCAGCGCTGCAACGTCCGACAGATAGGTCGCAAAGTGGCAGCTGGGTCTCCAAAGCACCCGTCGGTGAAGGCCCCTTGCGGCGCCGCTGAGGGGCACCCGATGCTCCTGTCCGGAGGGTAACTTTGCTCGGGTGCGCCGCACAGGGTGGCATGGAAGGAGAGGGCTAGCGCATCGTGGCCCCAGGCACGTGCGCGAACGGGCGGAGGGCTGGGGAAGTTGAAGTGATAATAACAACGTAGCACACCGCAGTTGCGGATAAGAGTGAGGGGGCGGCTGGGACGTCGGCAGTCTGCGAGGCTCTGAAGAAGCCCGCCGCAGGCGCATCATTTTACAAACTATACAACGACCCCGCCGCAGGCGCGTGTTTTTTTGTGGAAGCAATGTGGTGGGTCGCGGGTTGGGTCGCGGGTGGGTCGCGGGTGGGTCGCGTGTGGGTCGCGGGTGGATCGCGGGCCGGGTCGCGGGTGGGTCGCGGGAGGGACGACGACAACAAACAACAACAAGCAACAAACAATAATAACAATCCACACCGCAGAACCTCACTTCAGCCACGCGCCCAGGGACATTGAATGACCGTTCGGCCCCCTCACTCTGACAATGGTAACAACAATAATAATACGGATAACAATAACCATAAGACTAAGACGAAGAAGAAGGGGCAATGGCCTGGGCCATGATACCCGTGCACACAAACGATCTCCAGCGGCGAGGCGACGAGACCGCCGCGATGCGCTGAGCCGGGCCACGCTTGGGCGAACTACCACCGGGCGCAGCAGATAGGTGCACTGGACGGGGGCAGTCGCTGCTGCTTCTGCTTCCCCAGCCGAGAGAAGGGCTGTGGACCTGCACCGGGCAGCAGATAGCAACACACCGACATGACGTGCACACGTGAGAGCACACGGCACTGCAAGGGGCAGCTGCCACACACACACACACACACACACACACACACACAACCACGCAATCCTCCCCCCCCCCGGGGGCGCCCCCGATCTGTCTCGCCCGCCCTCCTGCGGCCGCGCACCGCGTTCTCGTGCCGGTCGGCCTCCAGGAAGCGCTTCAGCGCTCGGCGCACCACGTGCCGCTCCCCGGCCGCCTCCAGGCCGAAGCGCGACCGCAGCTCGGCGTCGCTCATGAGCAGCAGGTGGTCCGGGCCTCGGGCTCGGCCGGCCCACCCGAGCCCAAATTCCCCTGGTGCGCGGGCGGCGCGGGGCGCTGATGACTGGGACGGGGGCTTCCGCCTCGTCGTGGGCGAGGGGCCTGGCTGCTTGAGCTCGTCTGGCCATGAGCTTGGAGAGTGTAGCAGACAAGACGCGACAGGCATCTCGAATCGCTCACGTGAGGGCTCGAGAAGGCCCCCAACCCATCCTCCCCTCCCGTCCCTCTCCCCCCCCTTCCCCGATCTCCCGCACTCACCCCTCCTCCACTCCTCCGCACACTTCCCTTTCCCCTCCCCTCGCTCCCTCCCTCCCCTGCCCCCCCCTATCACTCCCTCCTCTTCCGCCGCACCCTTGGAAGTTTCCAGCAGTGGGAAGGAATGCCTGCGGGGGCCTCGACTGAGGGGACTAGAGACGGGACGGTGCATTGCAGCATCATTGGTGCATTCTGGGTTTACTCTGGTCCTCATTTGCTCCTTTTTCTCCTCCCTCTGTTTCTTCTTATCTCCCTCCTCCCCGCCATCCTCATCAGCTGCGCGAGCATGGGGGCAGGGTTAGGGGACGGCCTTCTGAGGAGTTCAGGGTGCATGGCTGTTGAGCGACAGGACCCTTCTAGGATGCCCTTCTGAGAACAGCGGCTCCCTTGCCCTGGTTCCTTTTACTCCCTATCGGTGTTGACGCTTCTTGCCTTGAGCCCAACGGAGCAGCGGTTGAGTGATGACTAGCTTGGCTGCATCCGTGTGGCGGGCCTTTGGTCTGGCGACTGGCACGCGATTGCAACATGCGTGCGGTGGCCGTGGCAACAGCGACCGCACAGGAGATATGAGAAGCCGAGGCACGCTCCCCGCGCGCGGGGTGGAGCGCGGAGGGAGGGAGAGGAGAGGGAGGGCGGAGGAGGAGGACGGAGCAATAGGAGGACAGGACTGGTGAGTTCTGCCATGCATCACCTGTTCTCTGGAGCGGAGGAGGAGGATATGCTGCACTTGTCGGATTACGGTCGGGAACTTTCGGATAGCGTGTCGCCACGGCGGCCCCAGCGGCACGGTATGTCTTGCGAGCGACTAGGGGTGTCACACCGCTCCGTCGGGCGGGGGGCTGGTAAAGGCTCGGGACTTCAACGCTTGGGGGCCCGGACGTGGATAGCGTGTCGCGTCGAAGCGTGCTGGGCCTGAACCAGCGGAGCGACACGCTATTCAAACGTCCCCGACCGTACATAAAGGAGGAGGAGGAGGAGGAGGAGGAGGAGGAGGAGGAGGAGGAGGAGGAGGAGGGGGAGACGGAGGAGGAGGAAGAGGCGGAGGAGGAAAAGGAAGAGGAGGAGGCGGAGGAGGAGGAGGAGGCGGCGGAGGAGGAGACGAGCGCAGGCACGGGCGGTTGCCCCGGCTAGGTCCCCAGCCCCGAAGCGGGCACCGCCGGACGCTGCTGACGGTGGCCTCCGAGCGGGGCGCGCTCCGGGGCGGCGGCTGTGGCGGGGCGGAGAGCCTCGGCTCCGTCCCTCCCTTGACGCCTCTTCTCCTCCTCCTCCTCCTCCTCCTCCTCCTGCTCCTCCTGCTGCTACCTGTTCTGCACTTCGCCGTCGTGTTCCTCCTCCTCCACTTCCTCCTCCTTCTCCCTGGACCCTCCACCCCATCAAGAGGCCCCAGACATCCAAGACCTTGCACACATCAAGAAGCAAGTGTTTCGCTCTTTTCCGCCTCTAGGGGCCGCGTTTGCGGCCTGTCCGTCGCAAAACGAGTGGGGACGAAGAACCGTCCCTGCGGGGAAGGGGTCGAGAGCCTTTGGACCTACGAATGATCATCATCAACAACAACAATTACTAGCACGTGGGGACACACCGTTCTCACCAGTGCCAGGGTTTTCATAGGAGGCGGGCAATACCCCCACTTTGTGGGGGGGCCGGTTCAAGCTCTACCAAATTTCCAAACGACTCTTCGCCACCACCCACACCCAGCTTCCCGCCCTATGACGTTCGGACACTTCACTTCGTGGCATGCGGACGACCGTGGCTACTATTCAGGGCCCCGCGGCCGACGACGACGGCGTGCGCGCGCGAAGAAAAAACGAATGTGTCCCGCATGGTATTATTTGACAGGGATGATGGCCCTGGCAGGTGCGCAACCGTTGTTGCAGAAGTTCGAAAAAGTTGCTCGCAAAAGCCCGTTTGACAGAAATGATTAAAAAGTGTTGGGTTTCCTACGAATCCGCAAGAGCGCGCGGGATGAAATTTTGACATTTTTTTTTTGAAAAACCATTGGTTTTTTGATGTTTTTATGTTAAAATCGCTACGAAAACTAAGGTTTTGGAAGGATTTCGTCTTGCGCGCGCGAATGTCCACTTTACCTTATTTTTTGCAAGGGATTCTTGAAGTTTGGTTATGTTAGAACAAGAAATGTCCACTTTAGCTTATTTTTTGCAAGGGAAAACCGATCGTAACAACACAACCGGATCCGGACCAACCCGTTTTGCCTGAGACTTCCTCACGAAAATGATGAAAATGAGGCTGCGGCCTAGGCGCGGCGGGGGGGTCGTGCACCAGGGGTCCCAACAATAATTATTCTTTAGAAATAATAATCTTCAACAACAACAACAACAGCAGCAGCAACAACAACAACAGCAGCAGCAGCAGGAGCAGCAGCAACACCACCAACAACAACAACAGCAACAGCAGCAGCAGCAACAACAACAGCAACAACAACAACATCAGCAACAACAACAACAACACCAACAACAAAAACTGCAAAACCAACAACAACAACAACAACAACAGCAGCAACAGCAACAACAACAGCAACAACAACAGCAGCAACAACAACAATAACAACAACAACAACTGCAACAACAGCAACAACAACAGCAGCAATAGCAACAATAACACCAGCAGCAGCAGCAGCAACACAACAACAACAACAATTACAACAACAGCAACAGCAACAGCAACAGCAACAACAACACCACCACCACAACCACCAACACCAACAACAACAACAACACCACCACCACCAACAACAACAACAACAACAATCATTTTAAGACTGTTTGCTCTTACTTGCCCGCGTGCCATGCAACGTGTATACCCACGCCCTCGATACCCGCCCCCTTCGTCTTCGAGCGTACCCCCTTCTGGGGGGATTCTTTCTTTTTGCGGGGGCGGGCGGGCTTAGACAAGCGGGCGTTAACGGGCGGGGAATTATTCGGAGGATGGGGCACGCATCTCTTTGCCCACCATTGGAATTAGCGCGGGCCCTGCAAGAAGAGGAAAGGGGAGAACGAGGGAGAGTGGGAGGGAGGGGGAGGGACGAGGCTAAAGGGGAACACGCCAGGAGAGAGGGGGCCAGGAGGGGGGGGGGGACGATTGGAGATAGAGAGACAGAGGAGGGAGGAAGGAGGAGGCTGGAGAGGGGAGGGCGAAGAGAGGAGGGAGGAGGGTTATGGGAGGAGGGTGAGGGGAGAGAGGAAGAGGGAGGAGGAGGGTGGATATGAGGGAGAGGGGAGGGAGGAGGGAGGTTGGATGGGGAGGAAGGGGCAGGAGGGTAAGAGTGTGAACGTTCGAGGAAGTCCTAGGCGAGGGCGTATTCCTCAAGGAAGAGTTGGGCGGGAGCGGGGGTCCCGAGTACATTGTCGGACGTCTCAGGCGGGAGCGCCGGTCGGGCGGGCGGACCCTGACGGGCGGGTCGGGCGGGCGGGACATTCAAACGGGATTTTTGTGTAAATTGCGAGGAAGTATTAAGCGAGAGCGCGATTCCTAAGTAAATTGCGAGGGCGTCCTTGGCGCGAGCGTGGTTCCTGAGCGTCGAGAACGCGATGCTGCAATAAATTGCGAGGAAGTCCTAAGCGAGAGCGCCATTCCTGAGTAAATTGTGAGGAAGTCTCGGGCGGGAGCAGGGGTCCTGATTAAGGAAGTCTCAAGCGGGAGCGCCGCTTCTGAGTAAAATGTAAGAAAGTCTGAAGCGGGAGCGCCCTTCCGGAGTAAATTTTGAGGAAGTCTCAGGCGGGAGCGGGGGTCCTGAGCAAATTGTGAGTAAGTCTCAGGCGGGAGCCGTTGTTGTTGTAGTCCGGGGCCCAACAACGCAATCTGATCCGCAAGGCTTTCCCTGTCAAAAAACAGGGTGCGAGCCCTGGAGGAAGCACTTCAATTGAAAAAAACAATGGGCACTGGACAGGGGGGACCAACAATAGTTATTCTTCAGACATGAGAGTTCAACGACAACGACAACGACAACGACAACGACAACAACAACAACAACAACAACAACAACAACAACAGGAACAACAACAACAACAACAACAACAACAACAACAACAACAACAACAACAACAGCAAACAACAAAACAGGCGTCGGATGTCCAGGTCCCTGCATGGGCTCCCCTCCCTGCTCCTGCTCCTCCTCCTCCTCCTCCTCCTCCCTCCTCCTCCTCCTCCTCCTCCTCCCTCCTCCTCCCTCCTGCTCTCCCCTCCTCCTCCTCCTCCTCCTCCTCCTCCTCCTCCCTCCTCGTCCTCGTCCTCCTCTCCTCGTCCTCCTCCTCCTCCTCCTTCTCTGCTTCCATGTCTTCCCTTGCGTCTCCTTCCTCCTCCTCCTCCTCCTCCTCTCCTCTCCTCCTCCTCCTCCTCCTCCTCCTCCTCCTCCTCCTCCTGGGTTGATGGATCAGAGAACCGCGGCGAGAAAGCCCAACACCCCACCCGCGGAAGAATGGGGGAACGAGGTCTCAAAGCACAGCGTTGCCGATGTGTGGGCCCGTGCGGGCATGTACGGCATGAGCGCCGTTCCTCGTCGTCGTCGTCGTCGTTGTCTTGGAAGCGGCCAGGGGGTCCGCGCTGGATGGGTCCCGACAACATCGGTCAAGAGGTGTGGGGGGGTACGAAAGCAAATCCGTTCAAAATCGCCCCCCCGACGCCTCCAAGGGTCGAAACTGACTGATTTTTCGAGCCGCGTCCAACCGTGTCGACGAGGGGGGCCCTTTCTCCTCTCTTTCTGCTGGCCAGAACCAATGCTGGACCACCTCAGCTCCCCAACTGGCTCCAAGTACTGTCCTCTCCTTCTCTGTTTAGCCTGGCTGAACGTGGTGTTTCGTTCGACCATCTCCCTCTTCGCTGGATGCGACCGACTGGACGCCTGAGCGGTGTCGCCAGCACCACCACCACGACCGTCAGTGGCTGCGCTGGCTCTGAAGGCCATCCTCCTCCTTGACCGAAGCACCCTCCGACTCTCGACATCGAAAGGCAACGTCCTTCTGCATGGCACTGTTTTCGACCGCTCTCCTCAACCCTGCGCCCCACCCGGGATTCCACGGCTCTGACTGGCGTGAGTTCTACATGCGTTCGAAATTCAGCCTGTTCATCCCGCTTGCTGTCGACGCGACTGTGCTACACATCGCCAGAGGAGGAAGAGGAAGAGGAATAGGAGGAGGAGGAGGAGGAGGAGGAGGAGAAAGAGGAGGAGGAGGAGGAGGAGGAGGAGGAGGAGGAGGAAGTGCGTGTGTGTATGTGTGTATGTGTGCGTGCGTGCGTGCGTGCGTGCGTGCGTGCGTGTGTGTGTGTGTGTGTCTGTGTGTGTGTGAGTGTGTGTGTGTGTGTGTGTTTGTGTGTGTGTGCGTGCAGCGCTCCCCGTCCTCGCCATCCACGCCACAAGATGGCTGTGCACCTGAGGCTGTCATGGCTGCGAGCGCGATGATCCCAGCGACCCTGCTTGAGAGCCCAGCTCCGCGCGCCCGTTCGCTTGCTCGGACTTGCTCCGCCTCGATCCGCCTCGTCGCCGCGCGCGAGGCCGCTGCCGCTCCAAAAATGTGTGGAGCGCGTTTCTTTCTTTTCGGCGATAATTGGCATTACAGGGGGGAGGAGGGGGCCAGAAGGTGGGGGTAGTGTCACGCCTCCCCCCCGCCGCGTGCCCGATGCGCACGGCGGCAGTGCCCGGAGCGCACTGGGGGGGGGAGGGGCGTTACGTTATAGGGGGGGGGGAGGGGGGAGGGAGAGAGGGGGGCTATAGTGCCCTTTATGCCCCAAGCAATAGAGAAACACGCTCAAGTGTGTGTGTGTGTGTGCCTGCGTGTGCGTGTGTGTGGGTGCGTGCGTGCGTGCGTGCGTGCGTGCGTGCGTGCGTGCGTGCGTGCGTGCGTGCGTGCGTGCATGAGCGTGCGTGCGTGCGTGCGTGCGTGCGTGCGTGCATGAGCGTGCGTGCGTGCGTGCGTGCGTGCGTGCGTGCGTGCGTGCGTGCGTGCGTGCGTGCGTGCGTGCGTGCGTGCGTGCGTGCGTGCGTGCGTGCGTGCGTGCGTGCGTGCGTGCGTGCGTGCGTGCGTGCGTGTGTGTGTGTGTGTGTCTGCGTGTGTGCGTGTGTGTGGGAGAGAGAAGCCCCCCCCCCCCTGCAGCCGCTTCCGCGCTGAGGAGCCGCCGCGCGCCGTGTCTGTAGAAGGCGGGCCGGCAGACGGCAGGGGGAGGAGGCGGAGGAGGAGGGGGAGGGGGAGGAGGGGGGGGGAGGGGAGGAGGGGGAGGGGGAGGAGGAGGGGGAGGAGGGGAGGGGGATGAGGAGGAGGAGGAGGAGGAGGAGGAGGAGGAGGAGGAGGAGGAGGAGGAGGGGCTGCGCGACCCTGGCCAGTGCCGCGTACCCTGTGCGCCACTTCTGCTCGGCTGCACTCGAGATAGGAAGCCCACAGAGGACGTACGCGCCCAACTGTGTACACGAGCACGGCCCCTCGATTCGCGAGACCCGCCGCGTGGTACGAACGTTTGCGCAATGCGTGCTCTCGGAACCAGCGTCGATTCAGGTACGTGTGCGTCCTGCTTTCGCCGGCGACAAGAGAGACCCTGGGTAAGAGTGACCTTCGGTGCGCGGCTTTTTGGGGGCCGCGGGGGGACCCAACACAAGCGCGCAAGACGCTACTGTCGCATCGCGCTTGGCGAATGAGCGCCCCCAATCGGCCCGCATCAAAGGCCACTCCGGCGAAGGGTCACTCTGACGTGTATTCGATTATTCGATCTTCTCCCTCGCCACCCTCCTCGAGCGCAAGATGAATTCCGGAAGAACCGCAAACCAAAACTTCCGCCAGACAGGGAGCGAGCCGGTCGAGCAGTCCGAGGAACGTCGTGGGGCAGACGCCCTTCAGCTCGCCCTGCAGCTGCGATGGCCGAGGCCGGTGCCGAGGAGACCTGCCGTGAGAAGCAGCGCTGCCAACAAGCTGTGTGCCAGACAAGGCGTTGGCTGACGCGCGTGCGGTCACCGCCATCACGGGCGCCCACGTCGTGAAGGAAGACGGTCACGGCTACGTCCGACGGAGGGGGCGCGCCTCCCGGTGCCCTCCCAAAGCCAATCTGGTCCGCCTCATCCCCTCGTCCCTTCTCCTCTCGTCCCCTCGACCCTTCACCTCATCCCTTCTCCTCGTCCCCTCGTCCCTTCTCCTCTCTCCTTCTAGCCGTTCTGGCCCAAGTTTTTGGGCTTGCAGGAGCTGTCTTCAGAGCGGCAGTCGCTCCTGCGGGTCTTTGTGGCTCGGAATCTTTTGTGTGAGCTCCTGGTGGAGCAAGCATTCCCGTGACAAGCTGTGCTGTGCATGGCTCGACGTGATGAGGCTGACGTACTCCCAGGGCCCCGTTCGCCCTTTTGGGGGTGTCCAAGCTGCGGCAGGAACCAGAATTTCGCATGTCGGATACGTTGTCTTTGCGGGCAGTCAGCCCCGAGGTCCAGTGTGGAGCGCGCGCGCACCGCCGCTGCCTCTCTGGGCCCATCGGCTCGTGCTCCTCCTGGCGTTCCTCCTGGGAAGCCTCGCGGCCCTCGCGGTGCATGGGCCAAGGGCCCCCCAGCCGATCTGTCAGGCCAGCTGGCAGCCATGGAGAAGCGCATCATGGAGAAGGTCGCTGCCAAGGCGAGTCCTCCCGCGGGTGTGGCGGTCAACGGAGGGGGAGGTGGCGGCTCAGCCCAGGCTGGCGGCGGTGGCGGAGACACCCAAGCCCCAACGCCATCGGATGATGACAAGCTACGTGCAAAAGTGCAGCACCTGGAGGAGTCCCTGCAGGCTCTTCGTAAGTGTGATGGAGTACCAGCGTCTGCCATTGAGACCGTGGAGGGCGAGCTCAAGGTGGCGCGGGCTGCAGTGCAATCCAAGAAGCCAGTGTTGTCCCGCGCTACCACGCTGGGCCACAAGCTGGCGGACAAGCAGAAGAAGTTCGAGGCTCTCGACAAATCGATCGCGGAGCAGAACAAGGTTGTGGAGGAGGCGCAGCGTACGTTGGCGGAGCTCAATGACCGACAGCGTAGCCTGCGTGTCGACATCGACGCGCTCAAGATTGAGCTACAGGCGGCGATGCAGCAGGTGGCTCCTTCGGCCCCTGAGCAGCAGGCGGAGGTCGACCTCGAGCTGGACCCGAGCGTGCTCGAGGGCCCTGATGCTGACGGGGTCAAGGAGATGCTGGCCACGCCCGAGTTCGCTAAGTTCAAGCAGCTCTATGCGGCCAAGGCGGCAGCGGTGCGGGCCCAGCAGCAGGCGCCGCCCCAAGATCCTGGCGGCGGACGTGGTGCAGCCACGGCAGCAGCTCCTGAAGCGGCCGAAGTCAGTGCTGGTGATGATGACGTGGACATGGAGGAGCTCTCCGACGAGAAGGTGCAGCAGGTCCTGGCGGCGGCGCGAAAGGAGGGCCCAGACCACGAGAAGGAGTTTGTGGACCTGCTCAAGAAGTTCGGTATCAGGGCGAAGAAGCAGCGGTGCGGGTGACGCTCTTCACTGCTGCCGTGCGCCCCTCGTGTCGGGCATCCCGTTGTCTTCTGCTGGTGTACCTGTCCCTCCTCTTCGTGGAGGCCCCAAGGTGGCCAGTGGGGACCCGTTTTTCATCGAGACGTTCAACGGTTCGTGTTGGAAAACACTTCGACGGAGATTACGTGAGACCTCGGCGGTGATAGTATGCGCCCAGGAGATAGGCATCAGTATTTCGTTTTTGGGACAGGCGACGGCATCGGCACGTTCGCTTGGTTTCCATGCTTTGTTCGGCCCCGCCTTCCTGAACACCGAGACAGGCAAGGTCTCTTGCGGTGTCGCCGTCTTCGCACGGCTCAGCATAGGTTTACGATGGCCTCCAGAAGGTCCTGGCCCAGTTGTTCCTGGACGAGCTATCAAGGTTCTGGTAGACTTTCCTGGATGGCCCACGGTTACGGTTTTCTCAGTTTACTTGAAGACCTCGGAGGGCCTCAGCGAGGCCAACATCCAGATGATCGCGCAGATAGGTAAGCAGGTGCATGACCCAACTCATACTATCCTTGCGGGGGACTGGAATCTCACACCACAGGTTCTAGAGGCCTCTGGAGTCCCACGCAAGTTGGGGATGTTGGTCCTGGCGCCGATTGAGCACACGTGTCGTACCCCGTCGACGAATACAATCATTGATTTCTTCGTCATGGGCCCAGGTTTGTCTAGATTGATTTCTGGAGTTGCTGCGGCTATGTCTTGGGATGTCAAGCCCCACAGACCTGTGCAACTCAAGGTTCGTGCAGACGCTCTCTCTATTAGGCAGTTAGTTTACCGTAGTCATCAGCGTCTCCCTGTGGATGTGCCTTTCGGACCGCGGCCTCAACCTCCAGCGTGGCAAGGTGCTCTTGCCCATGCTGCTCAGGCAGCGGCTTGGGCCACGTACGAGAAGGCCACGGTGGCCTGGAGTATTTTGAATAATGCGTGGGCGCAGTTTGTGGATGTCGCTGAGCTGGAGCTTACCCGCACTTTAGGCTTCGAGCCGAAGGAGTTGGGGGAGCGTTCTCGAACGATCAAGTCGTCCTGGGTTTCAGTTTTCTATCGCCCGAAGGATCCTGATGATAAGCTCCAGATCGTCGCTGGTTGGAAGTGGCTGTACCAGTCCTTTCAGGAATTCATCCTCACGGTGCAAGATGCGACCGAGGATGCCGTGCAGTGTTGCATCCAGCTTCAGGTATCGCTCCAGGACTCCTGTCCTGGCGAAGGCTTGTCTGTGCGCCTTGATGCCTCCCTACGTGCCATGCGCACCCTGGCGAGGAGCTGGCAACGCCACAGCAGCTTCCAGAGACAGGAGTGGCTTGAGCAAGCTCAGCAGTTTCTAGAGGATGTTCGTGAGGACTATGAGCAAGCTGGGGCGGATGGGGATCGAATACAGCGGGAGTCGTGGGACATCTGGCAGGAACGGGCCCTTGCTGGCTCAGCTCGGATAATGCATCGTTTTACAAAGCTGAAAAAGGTTTGGCAAC